AGCGGATTTGGTTGGGTGGCATAGTGTCGTTTATTTGGGAGGGAGGGAGAAGAGAGCGGGTTTGGCTGGGTGGCATGGCGTTCGTTGGGTTAGGTCAGGTGCAGGATCCTGTGTGAGATGGTGGCGCATGGGTCTCATCTTTTTTTGTCCTGGGTTTTTCTTATTATTTAATCCGGCCTCGGAATTGAGTACCATGCCTGGATGAGCTGGTTCTTAAACCTTGCTCCCAGAGAGGCAGGTACAGCACGCCGAGTGAAAGATAGAAAAAAATCGAATCGAGAGCTGCCCGTACACAATCAAAAAAAATCAATCGAAGAACTGTCTGGATGTAGGAGTCGGGGGATTCAAGAGTGTCAGTTCCCAATCCCCCAGAGCCCCAGCTTCTTCTTTCTCAAATATATGTATATATGTATGCTCCCTAACACGTAGCAGGAGCAGTAGCATTAGCAGTAAAGCAAACCCGACCGACCGACTACCCAATCTCAATTATCTCAATCAACCAACCAAATAGAGTACACGTCCCTATCCGTGTGTACATACACGTTAACGTATATATCCAACGCCCCTACAGAGCGGATCTATTCCTCGCCTCTAGGTGTTGCGTGGTGTTGCATGGTGTTGCATAGGCTTGGCGTGGCGTGGTGTGGTGTGATTTGCTGGCTGTGGGTTACTATTAGAGTATAGGGCCTTTATCATTATCGTTTTCTTTTTTTTTTCTTCTTTTTTTTTCGGGAAGAGGGGGTTGAAAGGGAAGAGGGAAGAGGGAAGAGGGAAGAGGGAAGAGGGAAGAGGGAAGAGGGAAGAGGGAAGAGGGAAGAGGGAAGAGGGGAGGAAGGGGAGTTATAAAAGATGAATAGATTAGATTAGGATAGGTTAGATTGGCTGTAGCTGTAGCTGTGTAGCTAGGGCAGTACTAAACAAGTAGGTAAGTAGGCAAGTAAGTAGGCAAGTAAGTAAGTAAGTAATAAAATAAGTAATAAAATAAGTAAACACCAATCACACCCAACCTTTTCGTTTCCCCCTCTTTTTTATAGACCCCTATCAAGAAAATCTTTAATCGTTTTCCGTTTCTTTTTTTTCCCCTTCTAGATTGATTAGATTAGATTAGATTTGCCTACTTACTTCTACTGGGACGGGCGTGTGGGTTCCTTCCTACATGGTGAGGTTTTTTTCTTTTCTTTCAGTTTTATTGTTTATATCTATATCTATATCATTCGCTTTTTCTTACTCCGTGCTTCGTACTTCAAACACTCTGTGGAGTGGGGGATAGAAAGAGAGATGGATAGCCGAGATGTGTACCCCCCTTCTTCCCTTCCTCCCCTTTCCTTTTTCTTTCGTTATACTTGGATACTTCTTACTTATCACTTTACATTTCATTTCATTTTATGACTGGAGATTAATCAGTCGACGGACGGGAGGAAGGAATGAATGAATGAGTGAATGAATATATGAATATAGCTGGACTATTCATGGATGTATGGATTACGTTACTGCCGTGATGGCCTACGACAAAAACAAAAACAATAACAACATTAATGATAACGACAGCGATGGCGTACATCATCTGCACCTTCCTCTTCCGCGCAAATCTCCCACCCTACCACGCCAAGTCCGAAGCGAGAGCGCTATTTAGAAAGCACCCACGACGCGAGGAACGAATGAATCCAGGAGCGAGCGGCTGGCTGTAGCTTCTGCCAGTAAGACAGGCCAGGCCGCGTTGTACCCGGAATCTTGTCTTCGCAGCGGGGACGTGGATTTTGTTTTGCTCCAGTTGGCTAGGAGATGCAGCAAGTGCATGGTGATGCCGCCGCCACGTGCTATATTCGTGTGAGCGATCATGGAGATGGGTAATTGGGCGAAAATCAGGACGGCGTGGAGAACGAGTTTGGATACTGGGATGAGGGGGGTGGGGTCGGTCCTTGTGTCGCAGATATTGGATCCCATAGAGCTGGCGGGGAGAGGGTCTGGTGCACATAACTGTGGACTGGTTAGCTGCAGGGCCCTGAACGGTGCGGGTATGTGTGAGATGGATGCATACCTTCGAGCAGAGGATCAGAGAAGCCAGGAATGCAAGCACTGCCAGAATCAACAATCCTTGGCTGGTGCCGAGGTTAGACGACGTCCCGGGTTTCGAGAGAACACGAGGCTCCTTTTCGGCGGCACTGGCCTGGTTATTCATACAGTTCTTGCGGAGTACGCGTTGCCGGACCAGAGACTCGGTGCCTTCGCCTGGTATCGATTGAGCATCTTGGTGAGACGTCAATGCTGGTCGAGCAGGGAGCCAACCAAGCATGGCTTGCGTACCGTTCATAGCGACAAAGGACCTGGGTATGGTGCGAATATCCAACGGTCCCTTGTATTTATGGAGGCCCAGACTAGAGGGCGTACGCAAAGCCGAGCTTTCCTTAATTTGCGACGGGATGTAGTGACTCTGTGCATTGCTCTTGTCGTCCAGGGAGGAGGCAGAAGATGCACTCTGGACCGCGGTCGCATTGCTTCCATGCCGCCCAATGGCACTCTCAATCCTACGGAGCTGTTCCGTTACTTTTCGACATTCCTGTGCCAGACTGTTCAAGCTGCGGTAAACGTCCCGTTGGGCAACTTGGGTGCGTGCTAGTGGAACATCGAGCGGATCCGATGGATCAACTACAATACCCGATCCAGCATCGTAGCCACTGCCTGAATCGCAGAATACATTGCTGGCCGACATAGCGGTGGCGGCAGATGTAGACTGGCTCAAAACATTACTAGCTACCTGGTTCCGACTAGCCCGCTGTTGACAGATGCCACAAGACGCCGAGCCCAAAGGTGAATTTCCGCCAGGGGAACTGTGGACAGTTGTTTCCAGCAGACTCCAATCCGAGCTTGAGGATATCAAAGTAGTATTCGTGCCTGCTGACATTGATGAGCGAGATTCGACGCCCGCGCAGGTTGGGCTAGAGTGTTGATCGTTCCCAGCAGGATGAGGTCGAGTCTGCTCTGGGCCAAACGCATTCGGATCTAGTAATTGATCCAGATCGAACATATCGCCCGGCGTATCGTTGAGGTGAGCCATGTGCGGGGTGGAAGAGTAGTTTTGTGGTCCGTCGTATGGTTGCTGGTGGAGTGGGATACGGAAGTTATTCATGAACGCTTGCTGGTCGAAAGAGAAATCCAATTCATGATCAATTGGGAAATCGAGATTCGTTAGATTCATGTCGTTCAGATCATAATTGAATTGTCCGAGGCTCGTTTGTGACATCTCGGGGTTCCAAGAGGCATCCTCCGGAAAGAGAATGAAGTCGTCGATGGCATTCAAAGGCGTGAAAGCACCCTGTGTAGCCTGAGTGGATTGCCTCGTCAGTGAGGAGGTATGGCCGCTACTTTCGTACTGCGGACTTGGGCCATTCGAGACGGTGGACGACGTCTTCGTAGTAGACGACGTGGGAGTTTGGGCCATGTTCTTTTGAGGGGATCTCCTATGAGAAGGATCGCACTGCAGTTCCGATTAGTCTTTCACAAGCCACAGCCGAGCAGGGGGCACATGATAACTTACCCGGATCTTCTTCCGCTTGCACGCATCGCAAGCCTTCATGATCCGCATCAGGTGCGCGTGCTCTCTCTGCTCTTTGGTCTTGGTCCCTCGACCAGCAGTCGTCGTAATATCGACTCCATCCTTGGTCATGATGGAGAAGCCTGGCAAACGAGCCTCTTCAATCTTTGGCTTTTTTGTCACCTTCGCCGACTTCTTGGTGACTCTCGCCGAGCCCAGCATTCGGGTAGGAGTCACATTGGGGGTAGACGTGCTCATGGAGCCGTACGTCGCAGACGAGGCTGGAGATGGAGTGAAGATGGGGGGAGAATATCCAGATGATTGCGATTCAGTCGAGGACTGCTCAAAGGCAATCGGAGCGAAGAAGACCTCGTACTAGAAAATCACACTTAGTCATTGTCCCTGTTCTTAAAGGCACCTGACTTACTGTCCGGGTGAGCGCGCCGGTATTGAGGTCGACTGTCGCCAAGTTGAAGAATTCAACAGTCACAACCGACAGCTTGTCCGACTTGGAGCCATTGCCAATCACATAGGCGTTGACCAAGGCTTCGAGCTCCTTGGAACCCAGGGCGGGCTGGAATTGGAGAGGAGCACCCAAGAAGGGCCTGTAAGAGGAGAGGCGGAAGAGTCAGTAAATGCGCAATCGAAAATACATTGGGAAAGTCCGATATAAGCTGGGTTTACTTACTGAGTGATGGTGAAAGAGGCAAACATTGCAATTCGGTTGCGTTTTTCGCTGACTTGCCCTTCGTAGTATTCCGTATTTGGTACGGGAAGGAGGTGCTGAATTGCCCAGAAGAAGGAGAAGGAGAAGAAGAAGAGTACAAGTAAATATAATCTATATCTAGAGAGTTGTGAATTTCCGTTCCTCACTCACGTAGGTCGTCGGCGGCGGCGGCGTCAACACAACAGACAGCAAGGTATATTTCTTGCTGGAAAAGCCGAAATGGAAGGGGAGAAAGGAAAGGGATGCCTTGCGGTCGAGGTTGTAGGGGCCGGGTGCCTTCTAATACGATCAAGTCTGACTTGACTAACTTGACGGCTTGCTTCGCCGGATCAAAAAGGGAATAGCCCACTACGTCCTTTTGCCGATAAAAACGGGGCAGGGGGAACTGACTCGCCAATCAAACGTCCCGGCTTGGTGCTGCCTCTTCCTACAGCCCTACAGGACGGGACCCCCACTGTCTATTCGGCGAGCCCAAAGAAGCTTAGAGGGAACCTGGCTCGATGACTCCCCCGCATTAACGTTACTGCGGCTCCGGACATGCTACTAATACAGTACTCGGTAAGGCTACCATTGACTTCGTAAAATTGACCAATCAAGAGCACTGGCTAGCTAGGGTATCTCGAGGTTAGTTGTAGAAAGATATTGCTTGGGTAAGGAAGGAAGGGTAAGGGCCGAGGCGGATTTACATGCAGTACAACACGAAAAGGACATTATCTCAATTATCCATGTATCATCTGCTAGAAAATCATTGGGGAGATCCTCGTCACGAAAGAAAGAAAGAAAGAAAGAACAAGAGACCAAGCTTCCCCCTCTCCAAAGCTCTCCGCTCGAGAATCTCTTCTTGATATAATTCGATTCGTCTGTCACATAATATATCGACGGCCTGCGTTCGATACAAAAGGTATTCCCATCGCGAAATTCCAGCCTAAGCCTACCATTAGGCTCCGTTCTACCATTAGGCTCTCTTCGTCTTTACTCTTCTTATCTACACTACATCACCGTTGCACCCTTCGTCCCAAGCTGCGCGCGGAGATAAATCCTGCGAAAGAGTAACGGTTGAAGGAACCTACTAGCTAGCTATTCACGATTTTGGTCCGTCCGCCGCGACCTGCTATCTGTTTCGTACCGATGGACAACCAGGCCCAAAGGACCCCATCATACCAGTGACCCCCAGTAACGGTACACACTTGCGCATTCCAGGAGTGAGACGAGGAACAGCCTTGGGGGGCGGGCTGTAGCAAATACCCACGCGTGGGCATGGGTAAAGACTAGGGTGATCATGATGATAGCAAAAAGGACGAGGAGAAAAACGAGAGGTCGATGGGGTCGAGATGCCGGTTGGGATTTTCCGTACCTATAAGATAGGGACATCGGCCTTGTGGCGAGTTGTCTGGCGCCAGTATATGTGTTACATCGGAACCGGTTGATGCCGTAGTTCGAGTAGTCCGATACTGGGTCGAGTCGGGCTGGCTCCCGCCAAAGGCAGATCCGTTCCCACCTCCGCCCCCAAAAGTGTTGTTCCCCGTGTTCGTGTAGCTGCCGGGGTTCCCGTTACTCAGGTCCTGGTCCCATGGCGGATCATTCATGGTAAGATAAGACGTGGGTGAGAAAACCGTGTCCGGAGTGAAGCTGGCCAGACTGTGCGGCTCTGGAGCATGGGGGTGGAAGGAGGCGATCGGAATCAAGTTCCCGCAGATCCACAGCTCGACGGTGCCAACTTGGAAACAGTTTGAGCATGGTGAAATTGAGTCAATATTCATGTGCCTGCACTGCGAGCATATAAAGCGGTGGGCAGGATCGATGCGCGTGAATGCAAAATGCACCGTTTCAAAATGGCTCTGCAACTGCTCGCTAGTGCTGAAGAACTCAAGGCATAGTTCGTCGAGGTGTTGGCACCAGAAATATCCACTGCGATGTACACCTATTGCGATCATTTGTCCGTCCTGGTAAGTGTTATACGGGCTAGGGCCGAAATTCGGAAGGTCTGTGCCAACATGCAGAAGAGCTGGGGCTGGGATGCTGCTCAGTATGTCGTCTCCATAGGCTATATCACCGGAAGATTGTATATCGAACTGGGTCGGGTCCAAATCGCCTAATCCACCCAAAGCCTGGTCGAAATCGGAGTTCGCTCCGATTCCCATCAAGTCATCAGTCTGCGAGACACCAGGCCCGGTAGGCCCGGTCTCCTGCCATACAGATAACGAAGTAGCGGTCTGTTGCGATAAGCTCAAGATGGAGGAGTTAGAATGCTGGCCGGCCCGAGGTCGTTCTGCTGCTAAGAGATCTTGGCGAAGCCTTTCGAGGAGGGCAATGTCGTGGTGTTCGAAAGGGCACTGCGCATCCAGTCAGAACAACAAAACAAAAGACCAGCCTTTGGCAGCTTTACCTTGACTCGACGAAAGTTGCATACCGAGCACGATCCAAGGTGGCGTATCAATGCCGCCTTCGCCCTTGCGACTGGGTCGAGCCTTTTTCTTCTCCGTTGTTTAACACTCTTCCCATCAAACGACCTCATCTCTCCCTTAGCTCTCCCAGCAGCAGATGTTGGCTCATCCTCGTCACCAAATGAGACGACTGAGGATAGATCAGTTTTGTTGTCGTAGTTAGAGTGTGTTACGCTGATTCGCGAAGAAGCGTACGATGTTGCTGAGTGAGTGGTGGGCGGGCCTGAAACGCTCAAGTGATAACCATCGAGATGGCTGGCGGCAGTTTGAGGCTCTTGGCTCGCTCCTGCCTTCTCATTGAATACGGCATCGCAGTATCCTATATAGAGCTCTAGAGCTCTTTTTTGTTTGTCCTGTGATATTGGTATAGGGTAGGACTGCGGGGTCGGAGCTTGCTGCATTGCTGGTAGGGTCGCATAATTTGCCGTTCTGATAGAGAGGGAAAGCGGTTGCCGGTGCCTGGATCGCAGATTCGAGTTGGCGACATTTCGCCGTGAAGATCTGTCTCTCTTCATCTGTGATGAATCGAGCATGGTAAGGGAGGACTCAAGGTTAGGACTGTTTGTGGTTGGCGCGCTCAGTGTCAAGCAGGCAGGCAGGCAGGAACCCATCAACGACAGACAGCGTGTCGATCGGTGCAAGATCCAGCCCCGTGGCGACTGTAACGATTGGAAGTACTTCTAATACAGAGAAATTGAAGAAGCTTGAACGAAACAGATAATAGAGATCGCACTTAAACTTAAGGCGATGCTCAACTGTAAATACCTGAAGGCTGTATAGCGCAGGCTCCGCCGTAAGGCAGAAAAGGCTGTGCAGCGACCTGAATGCGACCTGAATGCGACCTGAATGCGACCCGAATTTTGGCCTAGCGGATATTCCAACATATATTTGGTGACAGAATCGAGGCGACGATTACTCACGAACGGCCAAAGTGAGCGGTGAACAGGCCATCGATGAGAACGAACGCTCGAAGCCATAGCTTCATTGTGGGAGCCAGTTGAAACGTAATACTACATATTTTGATGGTCGAGAGTTGGAAAGTGAAGTTGAGTACGAAAAAAGGGAGGAATGCAGTGAGGCGCAACATAGCATGCAGCGGAGAGCTGGTGTGGGGAGTGGAAATGTGGCTGAGGCGCGGAGAGCACCGATTATCTCAAAAGAGCCCGCACTGCAGAACAGAGCAGCATCGTGATCTCATCGCGCCGATAAGCTCGGTGGCGGAGCAGTGAAGAACGAGAACTAATAGTTCATGCCATGGAATGCATGGAATGAATGCTGGAGGAATTACTAAATCGAAAGTGCAAAGGAGGTGTAGAGCTGTGTATCGATGCAAAGCAGTACTATTGCAATTGGCATCGCGCCCTCTGCCCTTTCTTCGCATCTGTCTTCGCCATGAATGACCGACTCGAGTTTAGATGAAGAGGGTAAATTAGAAATACCTCGGGGCGAATCTCCCCAAAGAACATTTTTGTTGCACGTCGCAGTCAGTGTCGTTTCCGCTCCTGGAACTTTGAGCGCTTATTCAAAGTCAACTTTGACCTGAAGTGCTATTCGGCGGCTCCACTTATCAACGAAGCTTTCTTTGCATGACGCACCGAATGTCGAGTCCCCACTGGGACAATAGGAACTCGACAGAAGTTGGTGAAGTTGAATCCGGTCTGATTCTACCTGTCTGGGAAGCACTTTTCGCGCTTTGTTGCGCGTTGTGCTCATGCTCCGATGGATTTTCGGATATTTAAGCTCGACTGGTTCCCACATCCCAATCTGTTCTGTGCTATACACCATTCCGTTTCTGCTTTGTAAATTGGAATCTAGAAGGATCTGAACGTACCCTTTTGAGGAGCGGTTCAGAGAAAGTGGCATATTTTGGGCCAATGGCGGTTGTATTGAAGAATTCTTCCTTCTAGAGCACTTGGTAGCTATGCTTCCGGCCTTTGAGGAGGTCCATGAAGACCGAAAAGGTCAAATGCTTCCCTAGACCACGGCCCAACAACCGATGCTTCTCTGACTGGCCCTTCACTGTCTTGATCAGCCCCATTGTCTTCCCTCAGTAACGCTTGGATCCGTTCGGGCCGGCTCGAAAGCCGTGGCGCAGGTGGTGGCATAGGGTTATTAAACAGAGGAGTCGCCGTATCGTTGGTACTGGCTGCCAAAGTCTGCAAGGATTTCCCACGAGTCGCTGGATTGGCCAGTATTGCTCTGGGCAGGCCCATTTTGAGATTTTCAACCGAAAAATCTGGGGAAATTGGGGCTGCTGAGATAGCTGCGAGGGAGTTTGGTGAGCTGAAGCCTGCACCGCTGCGACGCTCTGGCGCAGCATCTAATTCCTGATCGATGATTGGGGTTGGTCCCGTGAGAGGTTTCGTTACCATATCGTTTGAGGCCTCCTTGCTTCCCGGAACATCTATGAGGCGAGAAAGTCCCAAGTCTGGACGCGGTGATCTCGTCTTGGCGATGGAATTTGACGGGCTAATCATGGCTCTAAAACGGGCAGTTGCCGACTGGATGGTACTGCTGATATGCTCAGGTTCGCAGTTAGATCTCGGACTGGCAGCTTTCGAGGTCTTCGGGCGACCTGATGTTGTAGTAGGTGGGCTAGTGAGAATGGGGCACTCCTCAATCTCTGGGCTGGAATGCATAGTCCTTTGGTTTGAAATCGCCTGGTTCTGATTGAGTGTATTTTGAGCAGTCGCTGTTGTGTCGCTCTTTGTTTGCCTATCTTTAGGGTCTTTGACAGCTAGCCTACCGGACCCGATCACTGGCTCAAGGTTCATAGCCTTGACAGCAACACCGCGACTATCAGAACGATGTTCTTCTGAATCTGCAGCAACTGGCTCCTGGATGGCTGAGCTTTCCAGTACAGATTCGTTAGGGGTGGCCTCGACGTTCCCGCTAGCATCTAGCTCATTGAGGGCCACCATGCTGTCTTCGGGCTTGCCCATCGATACCTTCCCAAGTGGCCTCGTATTTTCTGACGCAGCAGAAAGCAATGGGCTGCTATTCGCAGTACCTGATATCTGGACTGCCGGAAGAGAAACATCCAAGCGCCTGCTAGACTTTTTTGGTAAAGGCTGAGGTTCCTTGGGGACAGGGACTTGATCGGGAACACAATTCTCTTTTGCTACCACTCGAGGTTGCTTTTTACGTGGTGCCCTTTGTTCTGTCCAATTATTCAGTGCGCTTAAGTCTGCAATAGGGCTAGACTTTGGAGCAGACTGTCGCTTCTGAGAGGGCTCTGCTTGTTTCTGTATGGACGTGCCCTTTCGAGATAAGAGGGTATCGATTGTCTGGACATCGATGCCATTGTCAGGATCTGACGAAGACTCGTCGCTTAACTGTGGTCTGGTCCGTGTGCCATTGAGTCGAGCCTGCAGTAGTGCTTCTTGCTTCTGACAGAAGTCATTTAGGTCCATCGTTGCTTGAGAAAGCGGGGTTTCATTCGAGACTAATTTCGGTATTTGTAGAGGTTGGGGAGTCGCTCGACTTCTCCCGAACGAGTCACTTCTGGCCAAAGGACGAGAGCTTGATCGGTCCATAAGCATCATCATTTTCCGAGGAGCTCTTGATTTTATCCGTAGCCCAGGCCGAGGTCGATCAGACGTAGGCTTAACAATAGATGAGTTTTCGGTCACAGACCTACTGAAACTTCTACTTGGCTGAAGGGCTGGATTGTTGACGTTCGGCATTGGCGGTGATGAGGGCCGAGATTGTGTGGCTTCCTTCGGCTTTTCAGGCTTCCTTGATTTAGTCCCTACTTCTCTCGGCGTTGTTGCCTTTTTGGGCAGCGGTATAAGCGTGAAATCTACGTTAAGGAAGTTGTCCTCCTTCGTTGACGGTGGTTCCTCATCTAGATCTATGAGCTCAACAGATCGCCCTTTTTTGTTCATCTTGCTGTTGGCGGGCAGCCTCGTCGGGTTCGAATTCATGCCTGCGAGTCTATTGGCCAAGTCGTTAGAAGAAGAGTCTCCGGCGATCTTCTTGAGCGGTGGTTCGATGCTCATTGCGCTGCCCTCTGGTTCCGATGAATAGTCTCCATCTCGCGTACGCCTTACTTGGAGCAAAGTCTTATCCGGTACCGTTTTGCTAGGCTTTCTAGCTTCCGGTCTTGAAAAGACAAGGGGTGTGCCAGTAAGATTACTTGCATATCCGGTCTTCGCAGGAGGTGACTTTTTGTGCCTCTTCGGATTGACGCTAGGCCTCTCCGTCATCAACTTCCTTTCTCCTCTCGCAACCTTTCTTCTCTTATCAGCAGCCCTGAGCTCCTCATCGTCGTCCATGGTAAGATCAATAGCATCTGCCGGTGTCTGTTGGGCTATAGGTCGTGCCTTAAAGGGCTCGTACCGTATAGTAGGAGTACTCGATGGCTTCGAAGATGCCAAAGACAAAGTCGCTCCCATGAGATTTTGAGCGTAACCATTTTTGCTGGAGGTATTATCATCCAGCCTCCTTCGCTTGGCCGCTGGCTTATTAACATCGTTTGCGAATTGCCTTTGTTCAAATGGAGATATATTGGGCGCAACAGCTCTACCATAATGGCCAGTTGGGGTCAACACGGCTTTGAGTGGCTTCGGTCGCAAAAGTCCTGAGCCTGCCGGGGTAGCTTGAGATCTTAACAGGGAGGCAGATGGCGATGCAGCAGCTTTCGCTGCGACCCTCTCTTCCCTTTCCTTTACTCGCTTGTCCAACAGCTCGGTAAGATCCTGATGTTTCTTCCCGATGCATTCTTGGACCTCGACAATGATGCTTCCCCGATCGAGTTCTAGCTCCTCGCCTTCCTCGAACGCATCACCCTTCCAGTGTGTATCTCCCACGAAATTGGCCCGTTCGTCGTAGACCATTACCCGCTTGTTGAATGTGTGGTACTTGAGCTTGCCATCCTGCCATCGCTTCTGCTTGCGCCGGAGATCTGCTGTATAGAGGCATCGGAATTCGAGGACGGGTGCGGTGTTTTGTGAGTGTGGGACGTCCATAGAAGCGCTCATTGTCCTGGCGTGAGGAGAGTCATCGCCACGATATCTCCAGCGGTATCAGATGGCTCATTGTCTCAGGGTTGGCTTGCAGGCGTTTCGTAGGCAATTTTTCGTTCGTTGGAGTCGGGAATCGGGATGTTGGCATGATGGAGACGCGACTTTCATGGCGTTAAGAATAATTCGTGGATGGAGCGATATCACATGATCCTTGGTGGGAAGACTGGGCAAGGCTGTGACAGTTGATTCCCCCCACCAGTATTTTCTTTGCATTGCCCTACGCACCTTCGAGACCAAATAATCGTCCGTTCAACCGTCCCATATTCCCAGTAGACGAATCAATCGCCCATCATGAATTCCATGCACCGCCAATTCGGCAAGCTCATGGGCAAGGGAGCGGGAGAGAAGTCTTCCGTCTCTGTGCTGCTCAATGACTTTGAAGATGCGGATAAGATGCTCACGCAGGTCGGGCTGGTCCAAATTCCGGCGCTGGCGGAGACTTTAAAACCCTTGCTAACGTGTACAACTAACAGATCATCGAAGCCTCGAAGAGTTGGAGGGACGCCTGGGTTTCGATCCTCGGCATCAATGTATCAACAAGTATACTGTTCGAGGAGCTTTACAGTCCCATTGTTGGCACCGATGATGGGGGGGGACGACCAGCAGTGTTGACTCCGAGGCAGCAACTTGACCGAACTTCAAAGTTGAAGGATGTATACACAGAATTGAAGTCAGATCTTCTCAACGAGGTCAGCTTGATGGATTCTCGTGTCATTCGACCTGCCTCGGACGCGAAGGAGTACATACAGCCTATACGAAAGGTGATCAAGAAGAGAGACAATAAGAGGCTGGATTGGGAGCGATTTGGTGACAAAGTCAACAACTACCAAAGAAAGGTCAAGCGTACGGACCGTGAGAATGCTGCTCTAGTGAAGGCCGAGGAGGAGTCGGCAACGGCAGCAGAGGTAAGTCTACCGGGACTTCTGCGTTAGAAACCCGCGCCCAGGAACCCTTCACTAACAGCATCATAGGAATTCAGAATCTTAGACGAGTCTTTGAGAGAGACCCTCCCTCCTATTATTGCTGCGGCATTCTCGATCCTACCTCACTTGTTGGCCGTTCAGATCCTGATTCAGAACGCAATTCTCGCCCAGTTCTACACAGCCTTGCACAATTTCTGTGAGGACAACGGTTTTGCCTCTCAGCCACCTCCAGTGGAGGAGGTGATCGCGGTCTGGGGCAGTGATTTTAAGCCCATCCAGCAAGAGATCGAGAGGATCGCCATTATTGCTCGTGGGAGAGCCATTCACCAGCCAATGTCAACGGCCGACGATACTCGCAAGAGCTCATCAGTTACCGGCATGAATGTCAGGAATGGTTTCGCGAGCCGTCAGCCGCCTTCGTCACACGCTCGACATGCTTCTCCCCATCAAGAACAACGCGCCGTACGAGTCCCGTCTTCGCAGTCCATCCCAACTGTAGCTCCTCCTGCTCCAGCCCCGGAACCAAAGCCATCGCCAGAACCAAAACCAGAGCACTCGTTGCCAGACTATTCAAGACATCTTACCCCCGTCTCCTCCCACACGGCGCATTCTCCAGCGGGACCCAGCGGCGACTACTTCCAACGCTCCTCGAGCGCAACTGTCCAAAAGAAGAAACCTCCCCCGCCGCCCCCTAAGAGAATCGGAGCCCAGAGCTTGGCAATCTTCGCTGTTGCGCAGTACACTTTCCAAGGGCAAAGCGAAGGCGACCTGAGCTTCAAGGAGGGTGACCAGATAAAAGTGCTGAAGAAGACTGACAGCACGGATGATTGGTGGGAGGGTGAGTTGCGTGGTGTAAAGGGCAGCTTCCCGGCGAACTACTGCAAGCTAGTCTAAAGCGTCCTGGGGATTCTGCACCCGCTGGATATGTAACGAAGTAATGAGAGACGAGCGGGAGGGTTGGGAAATTTTATCAACATCGATGGAAATGGAATGGCGTTCAGAGATGAATTATATGGGTCAGGAAGCTTGATTTTATTTTAATAGCTTGCCTGCTGTGAAAAGTAAAACGAGCAGGCCTGATTGTTCTTTTCTAAATCGCGTATTTTCTCGGTTTCGAATTCTTTGTATTACATGGCTACCTAAGGTAGGTAGCCAGGCCACGCGTCAGTTCAGTTACTAGTTTACCAAATATACCAGATACCCAACTAGTAAGTAAACAAACAAACAAGCGAGCCAGGCCACGTCCCCAGTCCATTTCTTCAATCACCAAATACCCAACTCGTAAGTAAGCAAGCAAGTAAGAGTAAACAAATAATATCTACATGAATATCTACATGAATATATATCTTTCTTCTTTGATTCATTTCAATTCTACTTCTTGCGGAGAGAGAAGGCGACGACTGACGTGAGGGAGAGTTATTATCTTTTTTAATTTATATATATTGAGAGAGAGAGAGAGTTTTTTTTAGAAAAAAAAAGACTGTTATCAACAAATGTGAGATACGAAAGGGTAGGTTTGAAAATGGGGGTTCGTTGGAAGCAAGGGAGGGAGGGAGGGAGCGAGGTTGTTTTTTTTTTTCAGAGAAAGATGGGAATGGAAGAGGGAGGGGAGGGGGGTGGGGATATGTTGGGGTGGAGATGGTAATTCGCTTTTTTTTTTCTTTTTTTTTTCTTAGGTGGTGTGGGTGTGGCGAGGGCGGGAAGGAGGGCCGGGGGCTGTTGAGGTTGAGGTTGGATATGGCTGGCTGTGCTGGATGGCGGGATGGGATAGATGGATGGATGGTTGGTTGGTTGGTTGGCTTCATAGGACGAATGCGGTAGAGGCGAAGGAAGTCAAAGAAAAGAGAAGAAAGTAGTCAGAGCAGAAGGGAACAATATATTTGGTATCGAAGCTATATACAAAGAAAAGGCTATGCGTAAAGACATATCATCAATCCCTCCTCTTGGGAGGAAAGATGCTGCTGCTTGAGCTGCTGCGAAACAAAGAATCGATAGGTCGATTGACATGATTTGGTTTTGATGTTTGTTTGATTTTTGTTTCTTTTCAGTTGGTTGATATATTAATATGGTATGCGTGCTAGCTAGCCTAGCTAGCTAGCCTGCTCAGATAACTTCTCTTTCTCTCTCTCTCTTCCCTTAAGATTTCCAGATACAAATGAAATCTACAAGACGAGCACAGCAGCAAAGAAAGCGCCCAAAGCGGCGGTGAAAGTAAAAGTGGTGCGGGCACCGGCGTTTATAAAGCCGGGGGTGGTGGGCATAGGGGGGTAGGCTGTGCCCACGGTAGGTTGGGGGATGGTACCGTTGTTGGGTTTCGGGACGAGGGTGGTGACTGGGGCTCCTGGGACGGAGTTGATGGGGACGGCAGGGTAGGGGCCGGAGGGGACAGCGGCGGCGGGAGGGGAAGGGCCTGGGGCGGGGACGCCCTTGTTGTCGGCTGGGGCATTGGGGATTGGAACGGGATTGTACTCTGGAGCGGATGGGACTCCCTCGTCGGATGGACCAGATGGGACGCCCTCGCCGGATGGACCAGAGGGGATTCCCTCGTCGGATGGAGCATTTGGGATTGGAACGGGCTTGTACTCTGGAGCGGTTGGGACTCCGATGTTGGCGCCGGTCTCAGCGGGAGAAGGAGGAGCCGCTTCGTCGACTGGGACGGCTGGAACTGGCCTATCTGGGAGCGGAGTGGTCGGTGGCGGCACGGCGTTGTAGATAGGAGTCGTGGGAACGGCAAGAACGGGGACACCTGGCACGGGCTTACCGCCTGGAGTCGGTGTTCCAATCGGGGGGAGGGTGACGAAGACGACTTCGGGAACGGTCAATACGGTGGAGATCACCACAGTGGTTGAGGTGGATGGGATGGTGGATCCGGAGTTGGGTCCGGTGGTCACGACGCAAGGCACAACGACGGTCTTGGACACGACGATGGTGGTCACGGGGGTGGAGATGACTGGGGAGGGCGTCGTTGGGGGCTTGACGTCGACGGGTGGTGCTGCGTTGATAATGGCCGGATTGGTTGGGATGTGAGGAGCACAAATACCTTGGAAGTACTTCTGTGCCTGGTCAATCTCGTTGTCATCAGCGGCGTGAGCGGAGAGACAGTCGAACACCTTGGTGACGAAGTTCTCTGATGGACAGTAGCATGCGGCATCGGCGTTGGACTCGCAGCCCTCCTCGAACAACCAAGTGTTCATGCAAGATGGGAGGACCTCTGGGCAAGGAGCAGTCTCGACTGGCATCGGGGCAGTCGTGGTACCCGATGGAGTGACGACTGGGCTCGGAGCCTGGGCGACGGGAGGAGAAGTCGGGGCTTGACACTTGGTGCAGATAGTGGAAGTGACAGTTGTCAGGACGAAGGAAGTGGTCGTCACGACTTTCTGAATGGTGGTTCCGTTGGTAGCCTGAGTGAGCGTGACTGGACAGATGGTTGTCGAAGTCGAGACGCTGTAGAAAGTTAGCTTAGCGCTTCACGGACATGATGGCTTTCTTACACTACGGTGATGATATCGATGGGTGGCAGGCTAGAGACCAGAGATGGAGATGGGGCAGAGCTGGGAACAAGGCCTTCGTTGCTGCTGGTAACCGCGACCGGGTATGAAGCGGCTGGCTTGGTGACGACTGGGACAGCTGGTTGAGAGACAGGAGCTGTGGTCTCGACGGAGCTGGAGCTGGTGTTTGCCATTGGGTATGCGTACTCTGGCTTGGTGACGACTGGCACGGCTGGGACAGAGACAGGAGCGCTCGTCTCGATGGAGATGGCGACTGAGCTGGAGACGGAGCTGATATCTGCCACTGGGTATGACATAGCTGGCTGGGAGACGACCGAGCTCGGGGCACCGTCAACTGTGGTGCTTTCCAAGATCACGGGACTTGAGGATGTAGTGGATTCCTGGGGAGGGGGGATTTCCATTTGGTAACCCGGGACTGGCGTCGTCTCTGGGAGGCTGATCGAGCTGGAGACCACACCCTCGACGGGGGTGGTCTCTGGGAAGATAGCGGGATAGCTCTCTATGGGGTACACAGGGTACACAACAACCGGGTAGCTGGCTTCGGGAGTGTTCTCCGGGACGTAGACAGAAGTGCTCATGACTGGATAGCCCTCGACTGGAGTGGTCTCTACGTCGGCAGCGGGACTCTTAGGAGTGTAGGCGGGGGAGCTCTCCACAGGAAGGCCCGCGACGGTAGTGGTCTCCGCGACAGTAGTGGTCTCAGCGACAGATGTGCTCTGCACAGGGTAGCCGGTCTCCTTGGTCTTCTCCTTCTCCTCGTCCTCATCCTCGTCGTCGTCCTTCTCCTTCTCCTTCTCCTTCTCCTTCTCCTTGGTCTTCTCCTTGGTCTTCTCCTTGGTCTTCTCCTCGCCGTTCTCGCAGTTGTAGTTGACCTTCTCGATACCAATCTCGCACTCCTCCTTGCCAACCCCAGGTCCGGAAGTTTGGGGAGGGAAGAGGATTGCAATATCGATGGCACCACCACACTGCTCGTTCTTGACAGTGCATCCATCCTTCTTGCAAGGAGCCTTGTGCCTGCAGGTACTCAAGTCCGGCATCTTGTATTCGAACTGGAGCTCACAATCGAACTCGGTTGACATCTTGATCGAGTCGATGGAGAAGTCCTTGATCGAAGAGTACTTGCTCAGACCGAATTGCGGCGTGTCCTCCTTCTTGTTACAGGCCTTTCCCGTGATCATCTTGTCCTGGGCATATCGTCCGGTAAGCGCATCTCGCTTGTAACCTTTACCGAATCCGAATCCGAATGATGCAGAGGCCGAGAAGCCCTTGAACTCAAAGTCGGCATACGAGTCGAAAGATCCGAGATCGAGGTCGGACCAGTCAAAACCCGAGGACTGCTTCTCGCTGCACACGTTGTTCGTGGTGGCTGGGGCCTTGAACGGCTTGGCTTCGTAGAAGCTCTGTTTGTTTTAGCATTTTTCTCGTCAAGCAGTGAATAGGGCCGGTCCACTTACAGCAGATGCAAGCTCGGCCGTGGCCGACAGTGCCACGAGGGCACAATAGGTCTTCTTCATGGTGGTAGTGACTGTTGTTCAAAAAGGGAAAGATGTGGGAAAGCGACTGTGGTTGGGGGATTGTTGTTGTTGTTGTTGGGTATTATTAATGAAAGTCGAGTCCAAAGAAGCGAATGGCTTTGAGACTCTGTTTAGGATACAGATTCCAATTATGTATTAAGAAGGTAAAACCTGGGGAGGTGAAAGAGAAGGGGGGGTTGAAGGGATGTCGGTTCTGATATAGACATCGATCCGTTCGCTCTCGGTAGCTACGGTCTTTTCCCACAGCCCCCCCCTCTTTTGTCCTCGTCCGATGTCGACCAGTGACGGAGCAGAACAGAACAACATCAGACGAATAGAGTTCGATGGAGTATGTAGCCCAGGCTGTGCGGTTGCCCTGCTCCTGGTCCCCGTCCGAGCCCCCAAGTCGGACTTGTCTTTCCTCCCCTCCAATCGAGGTCGGATTCCCTGGCTCGCGCGCGCTTGGCCAGCACCGATTGACTAGCAGACCCATAATATAACCTAACAAGATAATGCAGGAACCGGGCGGGGAGGGGAGCGACATGAGGTTGTACAATCAAATGTCCGACCCGCCGCACACACGATTCAGGGTCGAGACTCGAAGCGGCGGTGGCCAGAGTCCGTGGATGAATTGCTACCGGTGCGTATGGCTCACCGCTTCTATCTGGCCCACGCAGTTTATGTTGTTGACTGGCCAAACAGGCAGGCTAATGCGCTGTGGTTTATCAGCTCTGAGTATATGCATTCTTTGTACCAAGATTATAGTTGTACGTACGAAGATGTACGTAGTACAACTACGTATGTAGTACAACTACGTATGTAGTACAACTACGAGCCGCACCTTGGTCCTAATCAGCGAGAGCGTCTACGGAAAGTTAATGGTAATAGTATATGATTGTATAAGCGCATTAGCAGGGCTATCCTGCAGCAGCGAGTCGGCATATCGTCGTCCATAGTAGTAAGAAACAAAAGGAAAAGGGGCTTGACCATTCCCATCTGCACGGAGCGTACGGATAGTCAAAGGGGCACCCGACACCCAGGGGCGAACGGGCGCTAGGACAGCCAACGGAACCGATGGGCGCTTGGCTAGCCGCTGCCAACGTTTTAACCTCTATAAGCGAGATGCGATGAGATCAGAAGAAAAAAGGCCGTTGACTGTTGACTCCGTACTCTGTACGTAGAGAAACAAGCCGCTCGCGAATAGAGGTCCTTGTACAGTACTTCGCTAGGCCCCTATTGGCACCTCGATGCGCTTGTCTTGCTTATCTATTCGATTTGGCTTGTTTTATTTTGCTTGTACTCCGTATCCGGACATTGTACCGGTCAGCAGCACTTGTTCCACCAGCTCTCCAAACCACAGTTACAACTACTTTCGCGTGCCATAGCTCCTCCCTTTTCAATTTCCTTTGCTCATCACTCTTCTTATTCCATAGCTCTTCCCACTTCAATTTCCCTTCCTCGTCGCTCTTCTTATGCATCTATGCGTTTCCCTCTTCCCCAAACAAAACTAATAAATCAGGAAAAGCAAACAGAGAGAGCCGCCGCCGCCCTGCCCTGCCACTCTCCTATCAACCTATGCGCGAGCTAAGCCTACCAAGCCTCTGCTCACTTTTAAACCATGAACCATGAGCCAGCGGGGAAAAGTGAAAAGGGGCGGGGAAGAAGGGGGGGGGACTTGCTGTCCGCGCCACGAAAGCGGGCCGTCTGAATCAGGGGCAGAGGGGCCGGACGGGCCCTGCGCTGGACCGGACCGTCTGTTCAAAGGCCGCTGTAAGCGGAAGCGCTCAGCAAAAGATGGAAAGAAAAAAAAAAAAAATATAAAAACAATCCGCGATTTAATTTAGTAGCAACTCATGGTACTTCTGTGCCGGGCTTTGTGATTTGTGATCGATTGCGCTGTTGCATGTATGCTTGCATGCATAGCTCTTTTGCTGCTATACTATTTTTACAGAGTTCGAAGTAAAAAGTTATCGTGGAATACCGGTAGCTGAATGGATACGCAGCCTGAGTGAATAGCTGCATACCACTGACGAAAGCAAGCGAAGCAGAGTTCAACCGTCTATCTGGCTGTCTGTCAAAGCCGATAGTTTCCCATGCCTCGAACCTGATAGAGCACGTTTTCGCATACCTTTAACACTGATAGTAAAATCAAAATGCCGCGCTACGCTGCGAAATTTTTTCTAATGCGTAGTGCCCGCATAACCTTTATGCTAATATACAAAGTAACCTTCGGATCTTAGTCCAAAGAAAGCCAACTCCGCGCTGGAGTCCAAAATGCTTTTCGGGCCCCCCGGCGCTGTCAATACGGAATCATAAGCGAACAATCTACAACGTACCGGTATTATTCAGCTTGCGCGCTACTTTTGTAAGCGAACAATCAAGCTGCTTGTACAGCATTAAGATTGGCATTAAGCAGCCTAGGCTCACACGCACACACGTGTACATATAAACAATTGCTCTCCCCTCCTCCTTCCTGGGTCAATCAGACGCTTCTCATTACTTTCTCCGGCATCATCTTACCTCGTCTTTTACTTGACGTTCAGATCTCGCAGTCGATCGAATCTGAAAACCTGATTCGTTTTCTTTTTATTTCAATATCAAGTCGCCATTTACTAGCTAACTGACCTTATGAATGAATGGCTAATGTTTACGGAATCCTCGGCTCCCTATCAAGTACGGTACGGACGCTCGGCCCAGCTTTTATACTTTAAAGGGCAGGGCAGCTTACGTACTACGTACGTTGTACTTACTGTAAAGGGACAGCGCGCAGCGCACGGAAGAAGTCTGCGCTGGCATCCGTAGAGCGGCATTTAGTTTAAAGTAAAGGTTAAGGCATACGAAAGCAGGCTCGAGGTATGGGAAAACCACTTATCGGCCGTCTGTCAACTTTCAAGGCGTCCGTGACGGCTAGATACTGTAGAGTTTGGCTACCAGTTTTCACCTCCGCATATTTATACGGAGAAAACGGTAGCTGCTGAGCGGCTGCCTCAAGGGCTTTGCTTGCCCTAGAGTCTACGGACTCCATTGCTTGCCAGCCTGCCAGCCTGCCTTGGAGAAACCTCGCCATCCGTTATCAAGGTTACCTACTCAGTAGGCGGCGTCGGGCGTAGCTTGGGATGAGCAGCGAAGGCTAGAACAAATGATCAATCGTAGGACTGACTATGATATTACGTAATTGAAAGTATTTTTTTTTTTTTTTTTTTTTTTTTTTTTTTTTTTGAGAAAAAAAAAACTCCCACGACTGGTAAGGAATATATAACTCCTTTATAACTGATGTAGGAATGAGACGCTCTAGGATAAGAAAGGAGGAAGATATTGAAAGAAGGAAGATTAATGACATCGATCGCTTTATTTACTTTGTACTTACTCAACAGATGACGTAGTAAATAGGGGTTGATGTTCGTGGTGTACGGCAGTATAAATAGTAAATGTATGCATGCCAGCCAATCTCGACTCAATACTTAACCAAACACGTGAACAATTCCCTCTGATAGTTTCCCATGCCTCGATATTAATAGAGTCCGCTTTCGTGTGTCTTGAAAGTTAACACTTCAAACTAAAAACCGCTCTATAAGTACCAGCGCAAACCTTCTCCCATGCGCTGGCCCTCGAAGTAAGCTGCTCCACCCTTTAAAGTATAAAAGCTGGGCCGAGCGTAGCTCCGTAGAGGCTGAATCGAAGCTTCCTCCGTATTTGCAAGGTCAGCTTGCTACTGTACTATCCCCGATCATGAAAACGGAGATATCGAAATATGATTTTGCAAGGGCTCGAACTGATACTCTGTCGGTAAACTTTGAACGATTCAGCCTTGAAAAGCATCTTTGCGGAGCAAGCAAGTACTGTAGTAGTATTGATAATTAGCTTGTGCGATAGAGTTGATAAGGCTTTGAGTCGATTAGAAACCATCGCTTTACGATTAAGTTGTATGTAGCTACTACGTAGATTGGGTTCGACATTTAAACATGGGAGGGAATAATCAATCGCCTGGGCCGCCCTTCGCCTGGTTTTTGGAAGTGTCCAATGGCCTGAGGCACTTCAAGCACGTAAAATACCGGTAGAGCCAGAAGCCTCGTCTATCAAAATGGACGTGAAACAGCGCTATTTATGATAACCGAGGACTCGGTTCCTGGCATATCAATACCGATCAATACGTTCAGGTTTACAATTACAAAATTCGTAGTGCTGTCAACTTTCGAAATCGATACAAAATCAGCTTTAAGGTTCGATCGATACTGTAGGCTTCTACTACGTAAATCAATGACAAAACTCTCTCCTCCGACCATCCCGTGCTCAGCTTGCGTGCGTACCCACCAGCTTCTGCTTCTATCGCAAGCAACTCTGGATCGATATGTAAAGGCAAAGTAGTGTAATCGGGGTATGTAAACTTTAGAGCAGGGTCTATTTGCAGAAAGCTTTAATCAAGCGTGCTCACGATCGAAATCTAATAATGTAGCTTTATTACTAGGAAACGCGATTAAATCGGCGTTACTACGATTGCCGAGATGCTTAAGAGAACTTGAAGCAAGCGGACGTTTCGAAAAAAAAAAAAAAAAAAAAAGACGAAACGAAAGGGGGGAAAAAACCGGACGCTTCAATAGGACAGGCCCCTATGAGGGGCGTAAAGGGGAATGGCGGCCCAGGCGATTATAAAGCACGTAAAGCTACGCTGCACACTATTAGTCTTACCAACTGGATCATTAGCTGATGATTATTAACAGTTACAGCGCCGAAAACCTTGTGAACTTGAGCGCGGAATCAGCTTCTTTGAAACTGAAATAAAAGTTAATGTATAACCATGAATAACTGCAAAGGCTATGCGGGACGCATTGGAAAAAAAATCGCAGCATAGAGCGGCATTTAAATGTGAGTGTTAAGGTATGCGAAGACGTGCTCCACTACAATTGTGTTCGAAGCAGAAGAAACAATCGGCCCTAGGACAACCCATATTATCCCGCTGCACATTTACTCCGTAGAATGTTTGTCAGAGACTGAGTTCTTCGCCATCTCTACTCTACCCACTACTTAACTTCTTACCTACTTTTTACCTACTTACAAAACCAGTCCCTCCCGGAAAGCAGACTGCACACAATTGGCCACCCTCTCCTTACTCTCCCGCCCGGCCGGCCACCTCACCAATTAACCACAACGCCGCATCTAATCCGCAGCTCACCCCCCCACTAGTAACAACCCGCAAGCCCCTCCGCTCATCAACCCGGTTGACGACCAAGCGCTCCCTCACCACCGCGATCCTGCCGCCCGCCATATCCCAGGGCCGCTTCGAAGTGCGGATGCATCGTCGCCGTCAGCCCATCCAGCACGCCCGCCTCCCTGAGGAACAGCGCCGTCGTGCAGACGCTCAGAATAGTGCGCACGCGGCCGTCGCTCCTCGGCGGCAGCGCGGCGAACCGTGCGATCAGCGGGATGGGCTCGGTCCGCGTGGGAAGCACCTCGTCATGGTTCCCGCCCGGCACGACCAAGATTTCAAAGTCCACGAGCTGAGCGCTCGCTTGCGCCATAGAGATGTGCCGCGCGATCGAGAGCTTCTGGCGCGTGAGCACCTGCGCCGAGGCCCCGGTGCGTGAAGGCGGGCGCTGTGAGGGTGTCGGTGTCGGGGTTGGGGTTGCTGAAAGGGGGGTGGGTGGCCCAGGAGAGGGCTTCGAAGGGTCCTGTCAGGTCAAGTATGTCCATGTTGGGTAGATCGTGTAGAGGATCTCGAGCGGTGGTCAAGAAGGCATTCTCTTGTTGTTGTTATTATCGTTTTTCGCGGCACTTGCGCTAAACTAAAGGAGAGGGTATTATTGCAAACCAGCTCGAAACAAAGATCAAGTAAATCGAAATGAATAGGAGATAGGAAATGGATAGATGTGAGACGGCTAAAATCGGATACAGATTATAGATTGGAAAAGCAGCAGAACATAAATAGGTAGTTAAATAGATGTGCTTACGTGGATCCGTATACACACGTAAGATATAAGCTGTAGCGGATGTTGCAAATCGCCCGCTACGTACGCATGCCGTAGCCGGGGCTGCTGAGAAAGCGAGAGAAACAGACTGGGACCGGATATATATGTATGTATGTGTTTTGCTCCCACTACCGATCGCAGCGCCCTCGGAAGTTAGGTTTCATATCTAAGTAGATAAGAAGAGACTTTCTCTGCAGTTCCGGATATAGCGGATCAGAAGTCGCGACTGCTCGTCGGTGGGATGGGTGTCGAATAAGCGAGCCGAGAGCTGACATTTCCAGAGCTGATATGTCCAGAGCTGAGTTCTAACGTGGGCGTGTCTGTTTGGCTCTTCTATCCGCACTCCTGCACTAAACCTCACTTGTGATTTTTGGAAGTGGAATCCGCAAAATCAAAGTATCCAGTGCCTCTCGATGCGTTCGGATCCGATATGTACGGAGCCAATACTGGACCACCGATAGGAAATAAGCGACAACGGCAACATCAGGTACAAATTCGCTGCTTGGACGCCCTTTGTATAAAAGGAACACCTATCGTTCCTTTCATATGGACAGATACCATCGCAAATCACACACTCGGAAAGGGTGCCGCCCCCCCGAAACTTATCTTGCAAAGCTTCATCTAAGCTCTGATCAAAAGCCCTAATCGGTGGATTAATAGGCTCACCGGGCCAATTCAAGGCTACTTGGCCGAACGCTATACCAACGAACAATCAACAACCTGTCCATCAATCAGCAATTATCAAGACGGGGCTTGCAACTGTACCGCGAGTGGTACCAACTGAGCCACTTACCAAATTGTACAAACAAACGGAATTGCAGAGCCTGGTTCCAGATATCTGCTCATCTGGCCTCTGAAAATGTGCCGTGCTATAAACCAGGGGGATTTAGTACGTAATATACTAGTAGTAGCACACTTGGCCATTAGAGTTGTGGAACAGACCTTTCGCACGAAACCTGCGCAACGAAAATATGCGCAAACTCTTTTTCAAACGTGCTCAATAAGCTCGCGCGTTAATTGTTCTATTACGAGAAACTGCCGGAAAATTCGGAAGGCCTAGTAAACACATTTGATTCTCTATCCTACAATTCAACTATCCTTAAATTCCGTGGTAAATATCGACCTCGTTCAGTGCTGGACGAATTCATATTATTAAATAAGATACTATTGATACAGTCTATTGGCCGTTGCGGAATGGAGACAAGGTTTTGTAGTAGAATGGATGTGCAGATCATAGGATGAAAGGAATCTCTTTAGCGGGATGGACGGTTTAGCCAGTTACACATTTTATTGTCAATCTTGCGCCTGCTGCGCTATACACAAAATGATCTCCGAGTTTATCGAGGTCTCTTTATTTTAGCTATCAGAGAGCTCACGATCCGGCCTCTTATGTTAATCCGTGCACGGCTTGCCAAGGTCTCAAATACACGAGAGGAATCAGAGGATGCCTCGGAAACCCTATTTGATCTAACCGACCCTCCTGTATCTGAATTCTCAATGACGTACCCCTTTCACTATTGGAATCCTACGAGTTAAAAGTCTTCTGTCAACTACCGGTAGCCTCAGTGCGTTTGCTTGCGGGTTGAATTTGCGGCTCGCGGTGAGGAGCTAGCTGCGTTGATCGGCCGGAAAATGTTGGCTTCGTATTTTTGCAATGTAGCGAGTCGATTGGAAGCACCCTAGCATCAACGGATCTGTTAGCCAAGGTAGCCGCGAGGAAGCTTGGTCGAGTTGCAATACCTGAACAATAAGCCTTAATCAGTCAGCTCTTTACAAATCGTGCTTAGAGGCTGGTCCTGCCCTTTTCAACCAGGATGGATCATGTGCCTTGAATCCTTGATGAACTTACTCAAATGCCGACATTCAGTAGAACTTTCCACGTTCTCTGGCTCTAGAGATTATTTTTAAATCCGCGGGTTAGGTGCTTGATCCATGTATACCATTCATTCATTTCCACGTTCACAATAGGCTAACCTGCTCGAACAGTAGTAGCAAGGCAATAGGTAATAGCAGCGAAACCACTAGCGTCGTTGGATTGATGAATATATAATAAACCCCCGTTCGACGTGCCTTTTTATTCTCCTCCGACACACCAGGCCACTGCTACGCCATATTGGATATTTCCTCCGGTCAACCACGAAAATCTTTACATGTCCTTGAGCATGCGAACCCAACTTCGCTGGGGTTATAACTTTAGCTTTGATGCTCGACCCCAGGTCTTGCCGACACCAGCATCGCCACATATACTGGTTGTTGGTGGAGGAGTCACCGGCTTGGTCACCGCATGGTGAGTGACCAAGCGCCCAGTTTTTTATATCACTTCATAATCCAACACAGTCCCTTCGCAAAATCATGGATAATTCGTTGATGAATTCCATGTGTCTTACAGGGTGCTTCTCGATCGAGGCTACCACGTCACCATCGTCTCCAAGCAATGGGCTACCTACACCTCGGAGCAGCGACTTACCTCCCAAATCGCTGGCGCCCTGTGGGAATACCCACCAGCAGTATGTGGCCAGCACACTGACGAGCAGTCGTTGCTCAAGTCCAAGAAGTGGTGCATGGTAGCCTACCGTATCTGGGAGGCCGTTGCTGCAGACGCCGCTCTCTCTGTCGCTGCTGGAGTCAAGATGCAGAGGTCTGTCTTCTTCTTTCCAGGCCCCATAGAGGATAATCCGAAGCAGTCGCGGAAGCTATGTGAGATATATGAGTAAGTTGACCTCTGGTGATCTCGCTACGTCAAGGGTTCGCGCTTTTGCCTTTTCCTCTACGACATGGGATGGAAGTTACGCTCTTACAGGCTAGGATAAAAGTACCCACTAGACATGGGACATTGAGCCCTGTGCTGATTGCTTTCACAGGAGTGGTGTTCAAGGCGTCCGACGCAATCCTGGCCTTGCCGAAGAACTTGGTGTGGAATCGAGATGTGGTGCAGTCGATGCTTACGAGCTCACAGCCCCTGCCATCGACACAGACCAGAATAGTCAGTAATCTCGTCGATGGTTTCTCCCGAGTTGTGTTACTGATTATCATGGGGTAGTGGCCTGGCTCATGCAGCTGGTGCAAAGGAAGGGAGCTCGCTTGGTAACCGAATGTATCGCCGGAGATCTCCTACACCAAGAAAAGTCGCTCCTTGCCCGATTCCACGCCCATGCCATCATCAACGCATCGGGCCTCGCGAGTAGAGAACTAGCCGCCGACCCCACCTGTTATCCCCTCCGAGGCGCCCTACTAAGATTCATCAACGACGGTCAAGACTTCCCCAAGATCGACACCGCCATGTCGATCGCCGCCGACGCCTCGTTGGACAACGAGATCGTGTTCCTGGTTCCTCGAAGCCACAACATCCTGGTAGTCGGCGGCATTGCCCAGCCTGGTGAAGAGGAGCTGGATCTGACGCTGGACTCTCCCGCTATCCGGCGCATGGAAGCCCGGTGCAAATCCTTCCTCCCGTGCCTGAAGAACGCGCGCCTTGATCCCGAATACCCCCTGGCGCAAGGTCTCCGTCCGGGCCGGGACAAGAACATCCGAGTCGAGCGAGAGAACCGACAACACGGCGCGGAACAGAGCCGGATCTTTCACTCGTACGGACACGGTGGCTCGGGATGGAGTCTCTCCTTTGGATGCGCGGAAGAGGTGGCCGCTCTGGTCGACGATATGCTGGTCTCCGACCAGCACCAGCTGCCGGTCAGGAGTCGCCTGTGATAGAGTACCCTGCGGTTTCGGGAACTATCCTGACCTGCTCACTCATCGGGTCCGATCGGAGGCTGTCAGTATCTGATGCAGTGCTGATTAGTCTATGATGGATATGTACCATGTGACCTTCGTGGTACTAGGGACTTTTGGATCTGATCCAAGCTGCCATGCGTTACTTTGCCCTCGGGTGCTATCGCAAGTAATTCGATAACATGGGCACCTCCTATCAAAGGACGGAGCTAACCTGCGGTTTATATAGCCCATAGAAGCTACTAATTTAGCGTAGAAGTATACCGTATTTCTGAAAGTAATATAACTACGTATAGAACTATGAACTGCACTGACTGACCACTTCTATAACACAAGTAGACATCAGCTCAAACTTTTCCTGTCGTTAACAGACATCAAATATTCAGCGTGGCTATTACATTTAGCTCAAAGATCTCGCAGGTATCAGTGAGATGGATGCAACTCAGTCACTTGTCAGCCGATTAAAAGTCTGATAGAAGACTGGAGAATTAAACAACAAGTAGCCGAGCCGACCTATAAACAAATACAAACAACAAAACCTAATGTAGAAACCTTCCACAGGAGAATCTCTGAACGCCATCTAATCAAAACCTAAGTTCCTTGTCTCCGGCGGCTCATCACAAACGTCAACCGTAATCAACAACAGCACCCCCTCCGCACCCCTCACCAGCAGCATTAGCTCCACCACCACATCTCCCTCAATTGTCATCTCCTCCGTCGGAACCTCCACCAGCGCGGCCCGCAGTACCAACATCCCCACCATCCGAAGAATGCGAGCTCTCCGAGTCCGTCCCGTCCCCACTCGCCGCACCCGGCAGCTCCGTCCCCTGAGGCCGATAGTCCCTATGAGTTGCAATGTGACACCCAAAGGGCGCGCGGCCATTGCTCCTCACCCGGTTCTTGCAGGTACCACCGGCCCTGGTAGGAGCACCGCACAAGCGCGTGCCTCTGCCGGGGATGTCGTATTGGGGATAGTATCCTTCGTCCTGGTTGTCGCTCTCGGAATCGGACCCGTCATCTGGGTTGGAGTCTTCGACGTCACCCACTGCTCCTGCGCCTGCTCCTCCTCCTAGATCTCTCCCTCCCTCCATATCGTCCACATCGCTGTCATTTCCGGCCGGGTAGCGGTTGGTCGCGGGTGTAGCTGAGTCTGCGTCTGGCGCGCCTCTCGTAGTCCTAGCATGCAAGGCCCGAGCCGACCCAATCCGAGCATCCGCAGCCAGAGGCGTAGGCACTCTCTCGGCCTCCTTCCCTTTTCCTTTATTCTTTCCTTTTCCGTCCCCCTTCCCTTGCTCGTGCGTCCCCTCCTCGTCTCCAGATGGAGTAACGACACTAGGCACCCGATCGTCCCCACCCGAGAAGCCTCGCGACTCGACATGTCCCCGAAGGAGCTTCTTGGCGTGTGCTGCTGGTTGCGCTGCTGCCGAGGACTTGCGTTTGTGCGGCGCCATGGTTTTGGTCTGTTCTTGAGGTATCAATGTATGGATGATATATATGTATGTATAGGATCTCGATATTCTGAACTTGATTGAGGAGGAGAGAGGGGGGGACAGAGAGAGAGAGGGGGAGAGAAAAGGAGCGGAGCGGAGGTCGCAGGGGTTTACATACTGTTTTGGCAACAAAGCCTCCTCTGACTTCTTGGTGTTGAAGTTTGAAGTAAAGAAGAGCTGAGCGATGGTTTGTTCGATGGCTTTGTGGTGCGTGGGGTGAGGGATGACTCCGGTGGGAAGTTTTCCGGTTGCGGAAAATGCGTAATGAGGGATTGAAGTTTTTGAAAGAAAACTTGGCCGGATCCGGCGATGGTGTTGTTGCAGAGAATTGTATGGTGAGCGATAATGAGAGTGATACAAAGGAAGCAAATCTATGCAAGGACGACTGGATTTTCCAGAAGAAAAAAAAATATTACATGGGGTCTTTATCGAGGAAGACGGGAGGTTGGAAAGTGACAATGCCAATCTAGAATAATATAGAACAAACATTTCCTAAATTCAGTTCCTCCCCACGATGATTTATTTGCGCAGTCTAGGAACCCACATCAATGAGGAATAATCCCAAGAAAGATTTCGCATCTGTAGGAATTAGTAGATACAGTAAAGCAGCGTAGCGTGGTGTGCCAGCCAATCTCGCGAAGTAAACAAAGCACGTAATATTAACCGAGAGCCCCCAGGTCAACAGGCAGCGCACTGGATATTGGACGCTCGGATCCGGAATCCCCACACCCATCTTCCATCTTTGGAATCTATCTCTCTCACTCAAAAGGAGCGAGAAGGCTCACACTATCACTGAACGCACCACCTAAGATTTAAGATCTCTTGCGTGCGTCTCCGTCACTTCCTCAGAGGGGTTTTCCTTTATTATTAATTTTCACTCCATGCATGATAGGAAGATCTATCTCTGTTAACCTCAGCCTCGACCGGCTGCTGCTGCTGCTGCTGCTGCTATCCCTCTCTCCACGCTCATTACGCTATACATACAGAAACCTCTGATACGGCATCCCCTTCTTCCAGGACAGCCCGTTTTCCTTCTCGGCGACCGCTTGCCCGTCCCCCGCTGTCCCGAACACGCGTTAGCAGTCCCACTGCGCGTAGTAGTCCTGGCCGCGTGGCCTCTAGGAGAGGTTCTTGTGCCTGAGCTCGGTGCCGCTAGACTCGATGGAGGCTTCTGAGGTGTTGCATCGGAGCTGAGCTATGTGTCGTTGGTTTGGTATTTCTTAGGCGTTAAGGAGAGGCCACGGGAGCGTTCGCTGCGAACGGACGGGGCGGGAGGAAGTGCCCATCTGGAAGGTATTGCGTGCGTGGTCTTCTTTTAACCAGGGGCTATCGGGCCAGGATTGGACAATTGGTAGGATGGGAGGTTGGTGCATTGTTGTGTAATAGTGGAGTTTACTTGAGCGCTTGGATAAAAATGGGAGAACAAACAAAGAGATGGAACAGATACCTACTGCGTGATGTATATTGATGCGGCCTTGAAAGAGGCTGTCCTGGGTTATGGTGCGTTGACAAAGAATGGGTTCACTCAAAGGATTGAGTTCGGGAAGAATTGTTCCATAGGACTACGAGTGCAGAGCTACTATCTCATGAATACATAGTAGAAGTGGCGGAAAAATAGCTGAACATCTAGTTGCTATAATGAGCCTTGGTAGTTGAGAAGAAATGTATGATTATTAGAGCATTGAGTGAAAAGCTCTCGCACTATCACGACAAGAAAAAAGGAATTAAAAAAGAAAGCGATGCTCCTTTCTCTTTATGTCGCATGCAGGCCGTCCGTAGCAAAGAATTCTAGTCCTTTTCCCTGATTATTTGGTCGACACCCTTCCGTCCATGTAATCGTGTGCCAGCAACTGAATACAAGAAATAAAAGACGGTGGAAAAGTGCGAGAGACCGAAGAACGCAAAGCTTTGTTGTTGTAGTGGAAAGATCCGAGCTACAAGGCTGCTTGGCGATAAATAAGCCTAATGCATATAAGCCTTTCGCGCCAATGATACGCTAGCACTCGAGTATGCGAGCCGGTCCTGGACATCTCTCTTCCTTGTTTGCACGAGGACCGGCTATCAACAATGGGGCACTGATTCAAAAGCGGCCAAATCAAAAGGAGTGCCATGCCCACGAGAAGAGAATCGCGATAAATGCGATAGCTGTACTGGGATTCATTCGATCGACTTGTCATAATCGCCTGGACCACCCACCCGCCGGTCCAGCATGACTCGAAAAATGAAACAGATGGCTGAATGCAATCCGATTTGACGGTTGATGGTATGAAATGACGACGAGAGAGCAGATTTCTTCCGAATTGACATACTGGAGAAAAAGAAAAAGAAAAAACCTACCCTTCAAGCAGAGTTTCTCATTCCCCATATCGCTGACTCACTCGCTGTACATGACAATCCCCCGAATTACGCCCATCGAATTCGCAAAAAACAGGTATCGCGAAAGTCTACTCCAGCGATGGGGTGTGTGCATGCGATTTGCACACAAACATAGACCACCAGGAAGATACATAAATAGGCTTGCGTAGCGGCTGCATTGCCACGTTAACGTCAACGTTAGCCACAAGCCAAAACAGGATCGAAAGAATCCTCATAAAACATCACAATAGAAAACAAGTCCGTACGACTCAAAGGAATCCAAATCCAAATCCAAGTCCGAATCCAAAATTCGCATATAGTGATCCGGATTTCTGTCAGAACACATCGAACTCGGCTCTCCTTATCGACATCCCTTCGGACGATGCGCCTGATCTGACCTTTTCGGTCCGCGATGGGCAGGTACCTACATGTTCCTCTCTTGGCGCTCCACTCATCCATAATCTGCCTTGATTCTTTCGCAAGTTCCAGCGTCCAGGACTTCTTCGGTGTATGCTTCGACGGTCCGGGGTTCGTGCGATAAATGATTTTATGCGCGAGAAGATGCTGTTATCACCTTGGCACCTTCCTCGGCCGAGCCGTGGCGTTATTTTGGCTACTGGACGAGAAGGCTTGAAGTGCTTGGTGGACCGTGTGGATTGGGAGTAAATAACCAACTATACGACTGAGACTACGTACGTTATGGGGAGGGAGAGGGATGGATGGACATAGGTCCTCGATTGTCTTTTGGAGAGAGAGAGAGAGAGAGATCGATTGGTTTTCGCATTCCACAAGTGTCCAAACGAGCTGTTGCATGCCTGCTCCATCTACATTTATCCTGCTCACCCCGTCTGCGTAGTGTTGAACGAGGAAAGTAGAATCGGTGTGAGCCGTACGGGTGGATTGAGCTGGACATGTATTTGGGCGATGCAAGACGCAGATCGCAGGTCGCAGGTCCCACATTCCTCGGGGCATCGGGGATGCATAACCTGCAAGCAGAGCGGCGACAAGGTCCAGAAGAGACAAGTAGATAAGAGGTTGAGACTCGCTTCGGCGAAGCATAGATGATGTGTGCCATGAAGACGGAGAGCTGGAGCTCTTGCGAGCTGCTCTAGACCAAGACGGAAGGTACTGATTGATGGGCGAGATGCTGCCAAGAGCGTGGTCATCATGATAGATTGAGCCTGCTAGAGTACCGCGCGCGCGCCGACGAGGTAGTATAAAGACGCTGATATCAAAATGCCGACAGCGTAGGCGTCTCTTTTGCATTCCTGTCGTTCAGAAAGATCGATCCTCCGTCATGAAGCTCTCCTCGTACGCCAGCATTGTTGCGACAATCGCTTCGCTAACCGAAGCTCTCCCCACGGAATCCTCGCTTGCATCGAGGGCGTTGCCTTTGGTTGAGTCGGTCCGTTACTGCCTCTCCACTTGATTCCGCGACTCTACTAATCAATGTCAACGTGCCAGAACAAACTGCGTAGAGTTCTACTCCGATCCGAGCTCCTGAAGAAGGGTCAGCTCTTGCAAGACTTTGCCTACGCCTGGGAGGGCCGCAACAGGTACTCTGGCACCCCAGGGCATCAATCGACGATCGATTATATCCAAGAGTCCCTCAACGCCACCGGCTACTATGACACCTATACCCAGGAGTTCATTGTTCCCTCTACAAGCGGTGCGCTGAGTGTAGCTGGCGCACCCCTCCCGGCTGCTCCCATGAGCTTCTCGCCTGCGGGCAATATAACGGCACAGGTTGTGGCCGTTGCGAACCTTGGTTGCGACGCTGCCGACTATCCCGCTGCCGTATCTGGCGCCATTGCCCTGATCAGTCGTGGAAACTGCACATTTGGAGCCAAATCCAGTCTCGCTAAGGCTGCAGGTGCTGTCGGAGCTATCATCTACAACAATATCCCCGACACTTTGCTCCAGGGCACTCTCGGTGAGGCTGGTGACTACGCGCCAACGCTGGGAGCGACTCAGGAGGATGGTTTGGCCTTGGCTGCTTCCCTTCCCATTGCGTCCTTGGAAGTTCAGGTCATCAACACCGTCACGCAAGTACTTTCGAGCATCGTGGAGTGGCCCGTGCTAATTCGTCTTCCAGATACAATGTGATCGCCCAGACCAAGGGTGGTGATCCCGAGAATGTGCTCATGGTTGGTGCTCACACCGACTCTGTGCAAGCCGGCCCAGGCATCAACGACGTAAGTACAAACTCTCACCTGTGCCCGTCAAAGCTTCGAGATCCGCGGTTTCCAAGAATACCTTAAGAGCCGAACACCTTGTAGATAATCACACTCCCCTCAACGGTCCCATACAACGTACTGATTCTCAGAAAGAATGGATCTGGAACCATCGGTATCCTCGAGGTCGCTCTCCGGCTGGCTAAATTTTCGACCAACAATGGCGTCCGCTTCGGATGGTGGTCCGGAGAGGAAGATGGACTTCTCGGCGCTGAGCACTACGTTGCCGAGCTCCCCCAAGAAGAGAGGGACAAGATCCGCATCTACCTCAACTTCGACATGATCGCGTCCCCCAACTTCGTGTACGAGATCTACGATGGGGACGGAAGTGCCTTCAACATCAGCGGTGCCCCAGGCTCAGCCGAGGCCGAGAAGCTGTGGGAGGACTACTTCAAGAACGAGGTCGCCATCCCAACCAACCCCTCTGCCTTCGACGGCCGCTCGGACTACGGCCCCTTCCTGGACGTTGGCATTGCGGCTGGAGGTCTGACCTCTGGTGCTGATGGTGTCAAGACTCAGGAGGACTATGACAAGTACGGCGGCGTTATCGGCGCCATCTACGACCCGAACTACCACACTGCCCAAGACACTGTTGAGAACACCAATGTTGGTGTCTGGATTGGACTCACCAAGGGAATTGCGCACGCTGTTGCCACTTATGGTCGCAGCTGGGACTCGTTTCCCGCCAAGACCAAGAGAAGCGCTCCTGTTAAGAAGCGGGACCGGGGCTTCCAGCGAAAGGGCAACAAGTTCTTGTGGTAGTGAGCTTGGGGCATGGTGCAACGAGGAAACGATCTGTAGAGAAAAAATCAATAATGTATACGATAGTAATAAAGTTTGGAACGACGAGAACAAGAGACAAGTTGCACCGTTTATCGAAAGATTGACCATGTTGCATTGAGGGGGAGGAGGATGACATACGAAAGCTTGTGGGCAACTACCGGTAGACGATGATTGTCAGGACCAGTTGATAGAATAGACGCTTTTGTGTTGCAGGATTCGGGATCTGCTGAGTCGAAAGAAGATTGACTCAGCTTAACGAGGAGATACCTGCTTGATCTAGGAGGTTTAAATCACGTGACACTCAAGATAGTCCTCTCGCTTCATCAAGGGCTTACTCGACCTCTCATAGCCCGCAGGCAATTCTAGAAACCTTCATCAGATTGAGAGGGTCGATTTCCTTTTCTGACTTTACGTTTGTCATGTCTAACATATTTTCAGGTAAATTCCCTGACAAGCTCTGCGATGGAAGGATGTTTTGAGTTTCGGAGTATAATCAAAGCGAGCTTGCCAAGCTTTGTATTTCCGGAGAGCTCCTTCCTTTATAAGGAGGAATGTGGCCTTATGAAAAAATTCAAATAAACTTTTTTTAGCGAATGGAATTGATTTATTAGTTCAAAAGTGCGCGTAGTAACGAGAGGCAGAGTCCCAAAATGGCAGACAACGTGATTGAAGTACCGGTACTAAGAATTAAAGACTAGATATATACTATTGTTTCGAACTTCAAATCATTTAAACAAACACGCTTCTTCAAATTCTGTGAACTCTCAATTGCGCGTATATACCTTGGTAGGTGCACTCCTAAGCTCGCTTTGATGTTACGTAAGCTGCTTGCCATTTACGTCAACTTACTTGATATATGTTACCTATTCTTCCTCCGCATACAAGGAACTTCCCAGGCCCCAAATGAGTACCGATCATCAAGAATATATACCTTCGTATGTATTCGTGCAATGCTTCAAGATCCATCAATCAGCTGCCGGTAATCGCATACAAGCGCTCGCCCCTGATTGGAGCGCGAACAAATACTGGGGCAAGCGGGGGATCGATCTTGCAGGAATAGCTTCAAGACCCCTCATCGTACTGCAAAACTCGGTATTGAAGATGGTAACCATCTTGCTGTGCGCAGGAATCTTCGTGTCAATGAGCCCGAAGGAGAGCTGTTGGATCGCCGGTCGCGATCTAGTCGTAAATATTCGTAACGTCGTAAAAAGTCCTCTTGCAATTGCAAAACTCTCGGTTGATAAGGTATCTGAATTCTGTATATTTCTGTATGCCCTCTAAAGTTCAGGAGAGCTGACTCCTTCTATACTATTGAAGGAGCCACGTGTACTCGCTAAATAGTAGCTTTTATAGTGAAGTTGGGGATTCCCTGAACCGGGTAACATACTAAGCGAAGCACGCTAAGTGACGCGTGAACTATGGTTCACGGATGGAGTTGGCCACATCACCCCCAACTACTACTAACTAACTTAGGTCGATATGAATATACCAACAAGAGCCACGTTAGGCAGATGCTGAGTTATATCTTCTTGGGGCCGTAAATTGAGTGTTGGGTTGATTGCTGCTTCTCAACCTTTCTCTTGCTCTCAATATGGATCTTTTTCTTTCCCTATCGTGTCTTTTGTTGCTTCCCGTCTCTGCCAATGTGCTGCCGCGTCTTGAAAATGGACTCGCAATTACACCGCCGATGGGGTCTGTTCCCTTTCCTCTATATCTTCTCTCTGCACTGGTCTCACAATCCACAGATGGAACTCCTACAACCACTACTCCTGCTCTCCAAACGAGAGCATCATCCGCTCCAACGCTCAAGCCCTGGTTGACCTTGGTCTGCAATCTCTTGGGTACGAGTTCGTAACGGTGGACTGCGGATGGACTTTACCCGCTCGTACTGCAGAGGGCACGCTTCCATGGAACCCGGATCGCTTTCCCAATGGCTTTCCAGCGCTGGGAGAGTACATACACGGACTTGGGCTGAAATTCGGGGTGTACTCTGATGCTGGGATACGGATGTGTATGACTGGCGAACCGGAGCAAGTTGGGAGTTTGTGTATGGAATAAGACTCGGGGATAAGGAGGCACTTGCTAATCATTCATAGTCCACGAGGAAACAGATGCGCAGACTTTTGCATCGTGGGGAGCAGATTTGCTGAAATGTATGCGATCTGCCCGAGCTGACATTCTAAGCTGATCATGTAGATGACAACTGTTTCTCCGAAGAGGCTTCTGGCTATCCCAATACCGACTACAACCCTGTAGCGTCAGCCTCTGGTCGATACGCAAACATGACCCGCGCATTGGCCGCGACGAATCGTCCCATCGTCTTTCAAATCTGCAATTGGGGTGTTGACTTCCCGTCCGCTTGGGCACCAGACTTGGGTAACAGTTGGAGAATCGCTAACGATATCATTCCCGCCTACCGAACTATCCCTCGAATTTTGAATCAAGCTGTGCCACAGACTTCATTCGCTGGCCCGGGCAGATGGCTAGATCTGGACATGTTGGAAGTTGGAAACAACGTCTTCACTATCCCCGAAGAACAAACCCATTTTTCGTTGTGGGCAATCATCAAGAGCCCATTGGTAATTGGAGCTGCATTGAAGGATACGTCTACGAGTATAAATGCAGAGAGCTTAGCGATACTGAAAAATAAGGACGTCATTGGATACAATCAAGATCCCCTGGGCGTTGCAGCTAGTTTCAGACGTCGGTGGACCGAAGAGGGCTATGAGGTGTGGGCTGGAGAGTTGAGCGGAGAGAGGACTGTGGTGGCTGTTATCAATCTGAAGAACGAAGCGAGGGAATTGACGCTCGATCTGCCTGACGCTGGAGTCCAACGTGCTGGGTGGCTAAAGGACATCTGGAACAATGCCGCAGCAAGTGATGTCCTCACATCATACACAGCACCTGTTGGTGCCCACGGCACGATCCTGCTCGAGCTTGGAAATACGACTGTGGCTGGGACCTACGATGCCAAGAACGCTGCTATTTCTGGGTAAGCGACTGAATGTGCTGAGTGGAAGTCTCGAGACCTCTAGACATCTACTAACCACTCTTCTTCTTAGCGATACCACGACATTTACCAACATCTACGGCTCCACAACAAGCGCTTCCTACACCGGCACCCTCGCCTTCTCCTCCTCCTCCCAAACGCCCACAACCGTAACCATCAACAGCATCCCGCACCCACTTCCCGCCAACACAAAATCCCTAACCTTCCCTCTCACCCTAAACGCCTCCACCTCCAACACCCTAATCATCACATCTCCCCTCCCACCAACCCTCCTCTCCATCAAAGCCCCCGACCCATCATTCTATCCCGCAACATCCTTCACGCCCTCCGGCACCGCCCGCCTCACCAGCTGCCACCCAAACCTCTGCGCGCCCGTCGGCTCCAAGATCAGCTTCCTCTCATCCACCGGCTCCGCCTCCCTCTCCCTGTCCTCGCCCCCCGACGCCCCCGCTGGCGCCGGCCCAAAACGCGTCACCGTCTCCTTCACCAACAACGATGTCGCCCTCGCCACCGCCTGGGGCTTCGGCACCAACACGCGGAACCTGACCATCGGCGTGAACGGCGTCGTGGCGCGCATCGAGGTCCCGCTCAGCGGGACCAGCAGCGAGCTCTTTTCCGAGGGGAAGGGATGGGAGGATACGGGTGTCTTTGAGGTGCTGCTTGAGGGCTGGCGGGAGGGCGAGAATGTGGTAGTTGTGGGAAATGCGGGGGGGGGAGAGGGTTTGGTGGATTGGGGGGCGGATTTCGTGGGCTTGGATGTGTGGTGGTAGTACTGGTTGTAAGTTGCTGCCGGTGGTGATGTTGGTGTGTACTAGGTTAGTATTAATGTGCACTAGTTTAATTTATTCGTATATGGAATTGCGTCGGTGAACTAGTCTAGATTGAAACGCCAAATTTCAACATGTTGACTGACGCTTTTAGACTGTTAAAGTGGATGCCGAGCACTGTCTAAAGAGTAGAGGGGAGGTGAACATCTTGCCTGGTCTAGTGAGGGACATCAACCATCCTATCTTCATTCTTGATCTGATATATAAAATCAAATCAAGACCCATCATCCAGACTTTCACAAGAAGAAACATCAAGAAAGGTAAATGGGAAGAGGAGATTTATTATCCCAACCCGAAGCGAGGAGAGTATATACAATACAAACATTTCCACCAAACAAATCACAAACGAATCAAAACGGATCTTGGACGCAATCACGCAGAAATTGATTGTAAGAATGTTCTCTATTGCGTATCGGTTTTGTGGGCTCGGCTTGGTTGAAGAAATAGAATTTAAGATAGAGATGGTGTAGCTGCTGAAAACCTTATTCGAAGCTTTACTACGATATACGCAGTACGTAGTAGCTTCACATTCGGCGATCTTTTCTTATTTTTTCATTGAGCGATTTTTTTTTTTTTTTTTTTTTCTCTTCAAAACTTCGTCGCTCGATCATATCGAGCTTCTTCGCTCACCCGAACCACTCACAACTTCTTCGTCTGCACCAAGGTACAAGCTCTAAGCACTCCGGAAACCCCCCGTTTTTTCCCCCTCTCCTCTACTACCTTTGTCTATTTCCATACAAATCCAAGGCTTTACGCGACCATGGGTAAAGGTTAGCGCTGTGCCCCAAGCACATACTCCGTACATGTAGCGCGAATCAAGACCTGTTTCGCGCTCCACCTTTCCCTCCCTCGTTCGCTGCATGGAGCACGCGAATAGATCTTGCTTTTTGATGTTGCAGTACAGGCGGACATTGTTCTACGACGGAGTACGCGTATAGATCAGAAGCCGAGGAACACGAAAATCACATATCCTTTAAAAGTACATTTTTTATACCTCCAACTATCACCCAAGAAAGATTTCCGTGTACAAGGTGATAAAATCGAGTATTCCTTATCGACATCTGGTTCGTTCTTTTTTTTTTTTTTTTTTTTTTTTTGGAATGGTGGTTGTGAAGATATCCGAAACGGACCAGTAATACTTGATTTTTCAGGTCAGTTTCTCCCTATAATTTTACTGCGTCGCAAATGTGTTTACTTATAGTGAATAAATACATTTTTATCTTTACATTACATGTTGATATGGCAACGTTCTTTAAGCATATAGACTCCCTTTTTCTTAAAAAAACAAAAAAACAAAAATAGTTGTGGCTTGACAAGTACTACGTCGCAGTACCACGGTACAGGCGTAAGTATTACCCCTCGAGGGTGCCTCAAAAGTTTAGTTCCCACTATAAACCCCCTGGTTACCCTACCCTCAAGGGGGTAATACTTACGCCCGGGACGTCGTAGATGAAGTGTCCCGGGTTGCTGGGTGTCCCGCTTTTTGTAGTGCCGACCTGGTCGCGCCAAGTCGGATTTATTTTTTTCAAATTAAATTCAAGGTCATCATCGCCTGGGCCGCCCTTCCCCTTACCCCTACATAAGGGCATGTCCGGTTGCAGTGTCCGATTTTTAAAGTGCCCGATAGCCTCAAGTACTCTCAAGCGCTTCGGCTATCGTGTTAACACCGATTTACCGGCACTTGATCTTGAACGCGCTTGATTACGTAGAGCTTTTGCAAATAGTATCCGCTCTAAAGTATATTTACCTCGATTTATAATATCAAAGTTGCTTGCAGCAACATCAAGGCTGGTGGCACGCAAGCCAAGCACGGATTAAGGGAAAGAGACGTAGTGTTGAGTATTGATTTAGATCCTAATGTGGGTTTGCATCTGAAAGCTGATCTTGTAGCGCTCATGAAATTTAATAACACTGCGATATGAATTTTGGATTGTAAATATGCTATTTTGAAAATCTAAATTTATTAACATACATGCAATGACATTATCCAAGTCTTTCGGCTATCGAGACAAGCGCTATCAGGCGCCCATCTTCATAGCCAAGGCTTTATCTTCCGGTGCTTCAAATGCTTCAGGCCGTCTGACACTTTAAACAATCGGACCCTTTAGAAAAGCCATCATGCTTACCTATCCTTAGAGAGATTTGGCATGCTTTAAATAACCGTTCAGGCGATGATCCCTTGAAATCCCATCATAATGGCGCGCGGGCCTGTTGACTCCACAAGATCGACGACGCACTCCCTGTTTCTGACTTCCAATTGGTGAAAGATATAATGATTGAGGCTCCAGCGTTGTTTCGAGATCAACGGACCCTTTGCGCAGTCAACGCACTGATCAGTCAATCAACAGAGATTAGACGTTATTAGCAGCCCCACGCGCCATTTCAACGAGTTTCTACTTACGTTTTTATTTTTTTAATCGTGGACCTACTCCACAATTCCCTTAGACAAGGCCAGGATTGCGGCCATTTAGAAAGGCAGGATTCTTTGATAAACGGGCCCTGAACTCTCCCAAATGTTAACATCTGTCTGTGCTTTAGGAAAACGCAGGGCTTTAAAGTGCTGTTTCATTTAAGACCGATCCACTTGGAAGGCGGATCCAAGCTTGTCCAATGGAATTGTGGATTTAGTCCGCGATAAAAAAAAAAGAATCGTGGGTAGGGTATCCATTAAAGTCATCAAAGTCGTGGTTACTATTTAGGAAAATTTTCCAAATAGAGATAGATTTTCTAGCCGCGCACGAATAAGAAATCTTGTAATAGTAGTTTTATGGAGATTCCATCTCGGGACGGTACCGGATGCTAACCAGAGTGTATTAAAAGAATCTACCGAAGGTCGAAGAGCCGAGAGAGGGGAACGTTTATTTCTGTTGATGACGAATCTACCCACCTTCTTAAAAAGTAACACATTCAGACATACGTAGTACATGCATATATATACGTGTTTACCTTTCCCCCTATCTGCATTCGTTAACCGTTTATCTATACCACCCACACTCGTTTCCACATTCGTTTTGTCCTTTATCAGTTCCAACCACACTCGTTTTGTCCTTCGTCAATTACATCTACACTCGTTTGGTCCGTCATCTAGTTTTGCTATCCAGCATATACTATAACATATTATATCATACCTATCATACGTCCTGCAAAATGCAGTTCCCAGCCCCCCTTACCCTTACCCTCACCCTCTCCCTCCTCTTCGCACAACAAGCCGTCGCCGCCCCTCAAGGCACCCTCGACGGACACTCAGCGAGGCTTCGATCGCACCCCGCAAGGCACCGACCCCACCCCGCAAGGCACCGACCGCAACCCGTTAGGCACCGACCGCACCCCGCAAGGCACCGACCGCACCCCGCTAGGCTCCGACCGCATCCCGCAAGGCACCCTCGACGACAACCCATCAGGCATCGAGGGCGGTCCGCGAGGCTTCGATCGCACCCCAACAGGCACCGACCGCATGCCGAAGGGCACCGACCATACCCCGAAGAGCACCGGCCACACCCCGAAGAGCACCGGCCATCCCCCGAAGGGCACCGAGAACACTCCGAAGGGCACCGACCACATCCCGAAGGGCACCGGCCATAGCACCGAGTGTCCCGAGGTCCACATTATCGGCGCCCGCGAGACCGCCGCCGAGCCCGGCTACGGCGCCGCCTCCGGCTTCGTGGAGCAGCTCTTGCAGAGCCTCTCCAACACCACGACGGACGAGCCGCTCGATTACCCCGCGTGTACCGAGGAAATTGAGGCTTGCCAAGGCCTGACCTACGCCGATTCGGCGCTGCAGGGCACGACGGAGGTGGCGAACGTCGTGAATGCGTTCAATGTGAGGTGTCCCGACACGAGCATTGTGTTAGTGGGGTACAGCCAGGTATGTATTCCAGCGAGCACTTGTGATGTGTTTTGAGCAAAGAAACGGGACTGCGGATTCGGCTAACACTTGTTCGTTCGTAGGGTGGCCAAATCATGGACGACGCGCTGTGTGGCGGCGGCGACGAGTTCATCGGTCTCACGAACACGTCTGCGCTCTTCTCCGAGGCGGCTATCGGTCAGATCGCAGCGGCTATTTTCATGGGCAGCCCTCGCTACCGGTACGAGGAGGGACTGCAGAGTCTCGTCGGCACATGCCAAGCTGAAGGTGTTAAGTTTTTTTTTTTTTCTTTTTTTTTCTTTCCTCTCTTCCCTTCTCTTCTCCTCTTTCGCCCGCGACCGATCGGACGTGGAAAGGATCGGCATTCATTATATGGGGCTTTTACTGACACGATTCCCCCAGTTCGCTCCCCGCCCAGCTGGCTTCCAGTGCGCCGCCGCGCCGGTGATCCAATCGTACTGCGACGCGGCCGATCCTTACTGCTGCAACGGCAACGACCAGGCCACGCACGGGAACTACAGCGCGGTGTACGGTGCGGAGGCGCTGCAGTTTGTCCAGAGCATGTTGGATCCATCTCAAGACCCAGCTCTTCAAGACCCAGCTCTTCAAGACCCAGCTCTTCAAGACCCAACTCTTCAAGACCCAGCTCTTCAAGACCCAGCTCTTCAAGACCCAGCTCTTCAAGACCCAGCTACTCAGGACCCAGCT